CAGAGACACTCGCTGACAGAGACACATGGAGGTCATCAGATACGCCACGGCAGGTGCTCGGTCTCTTGACACGAAGAGAGGCCTCTAACAATCTGGCTCAGGAGCAGAGCAGGAACGGCAGGTTCCAGGGGGGTAAGGAGAACGTCTCGTCTGTGGAGGGCAGACAGGTGTCTGGCTGCTGGTGTGAGGGTCCTTCTTTTATACCCGATGGAGGGGCATCTTCAGTGTCTCATATCAGTGTGCTCCGGTGGTGCCTTCTGGGCTTATCAGGGTACACATGCAGGGGGTTCCAAAGTACTTATCGGGATACACACGCAGGGGTCTTATCAGGCTACACACATGTAGGTTAGGTTTTACTTCTAACGTTCACCTCCAACACAAAATGGAGTTTGCTTATACCAATCCCTTTTGTATTAAAAGTAAAACCCAGAAGCGAAGTTTCAGACTAATACAAATTAAGGTTACTTATATGTACTAAACTTATTACTATAACAAGTTATCACCACCAAACAGTATTATATGAAATACTGAAGGGTGTTCTTTAAGTAGAGGAAGAAGAAGAAAAAGGTAAAGATAAAAATATATATATAAACAACAATGTGGCAACAAATACATATCAACAATTGAATCTAAAAATCAAAATGAATAAAAAATATGCTGAACAGAATAAACTGGTGAATGGAATAGAATCAGGGGCATGGAAATGGAACAGACTGACGATTCTCAGAGGGAAGGACGTATGGAAGGGGGTGGGGGAAGAGATTAGACAAAGATCTTATATGCATGTATGTATTACCTATGGACAGAGACAATAGGGTGGTGAGGGCCTGGGGTGGGGTGGGAACTGGGTAGAGGGGAGCTATGGGGGGGAAAAAGAGAGACCTTTGTAATAATCTCAACAATAAAGATAGAAAGAAAGAAAGAAAGGAAGGAAGGAAGGAAGGAAGGAAGGAAGGAAGGAAGGAAGGAAGGAAGGAAGGAAGGAAGGGATGGTTGGTTGTGTGTGAGAAAGGGAGTCAGAAAGACAGAGGGGAATGTAAGAAGGGAAGAGGGTAGGGAAGAAGGAGCAAAAAGAGGAGATCCTGACCAGTTGAAAGGAGTGTGAAAGAGATGCCTGGGGCCCAGAGAGAAGAGACTGAGAAAGTACCAGAGACAAGCCCCACCTACTTGTGAGAGTACACCAAGGGCAGCTGCTTTTACCTTCTATTCCAAAACATCTTTTTGTGAGGGAGATTTTCCAGACCAAAAGGTCTCAATTCCAGTCTGAGAAATTAGATTCACAAGTCAAATTTCTACGAATCGCTGAAATTAAGTCAGGCCCACAATTATCTCCAAACAGAAACTAAAGACTTTATTGCGTCATTTAAAAGTGTAATTTAAGCATGGCTCCCCAAGTTACTAGCAGTTTAACTGTGAGGTGGTATACATCTAACCTGGAAAACAATTGCATAAAGAACCCAAGGCTGACTCTGCAGAGGGGGGATGCGATGGAGCCCCTCCCTCTGCCTCTGCCCTGGGGTCCTGCTTCAGAGCTGAGAAGTCAGGTTCTCCTTTCAGGGATGTTCAGAGTGGAAGGCTGATAACATTTAAAGTGAAAACAACAACATCAACAAACAAACTGATTTTGAACCTTGTTCTGAGAGTCACTCAGAAGACTCATCATACAAGTCCCTCCCATCTGGTCCTTCCAGAATATTCCTGCTCAGAAAAGAAAATAAATAAACAGATTGTCGCCAGCTCCCGTTTGGTGCCAACCGCCAAAGGCTTCCAAGGGTACAGGCTGGGCCCTGAGGTCCTAGAGAAACGCTGATCCGCGGGCCAGGCTTGGGAGGAGCCCCCTGGTGCTGCGATCATCACCACCAAACATGCAATTTTCTGTTTTCAAATCTTACCTCAGATATGACATAAAAATATCAAAATATTCACCCAAGGCTTACAAACCACAGTTGGAGCTATCAATCTGTCCACTGCTCCGACGCAGGTTTGGTATTTCCAAGTGCTAGGCCTCCTGTTTCCCGCGGGACTGCTCAGCTTCTGAGCAGCAGGAGCCCAGGCTGATGGGAGAGGGGCCGCTCCTCACGCCCAATAATGCAAAGCAGCGAAGCGGCGAGGCCCCAGCCCTTCTGTTTGACGCCGCACAGTGATTTGGAGGCAAATATTTTTCCAACAACATCTCCGAATTGAGAGCATTTTGAAACATCGCGAAGCCTTCACAGAACACTGTTTTGGAAAAACCTCCTTGGGGGGGGGGGGGGGGGGTGCGCGTCTGTCAGTGACATGAGCCTCCCCGTCCGTTTAGCCTGAGAACCAGAGCTCAGGCTGCCACCAGCCCTAAATGACATGTATTTGCAGATGTGAATGGAGCGCAGAATTCCAAGATCCCAGCAAAAGGTGGGGAGTGAGGGAAGGGAAAAAGAGAGTTTTTCATCATTCTCTTCTCGTTATCAATAAAAACAGTGATATCTTCTAGCTTTTATCACTGATTCGGGCTTATTTATTTGTGACTAAGGTATCCAGGCACACCTGTGAATCTGAAGTGTTTAATTGGGTATGAATTTTTAAAGCTGTCATTCACCCAATGCCAACTGAGGTACAAAGGGCTGACTACAGACAAGTCTCTGTTAGATTTTGTGACAAGTTTAAAGTTATTCAAGAAATAAAGTCAGCAGTTTAAGGAACTTACTCTCAACCAGGAGAGAAAACAAAGCACGCAAATATCTCAATTATGAGACATCATTTTTTAAAAATTTGTTTTAAAATCAATATTTAATGAATTTAAACTAAATGACTGGTGTATCTTTCTCTTTTCTTTCTGAGCTCTGTTGATTTGAGTCAGGCATCAGAATCACAAATGGTCATTCACATGTTCCTATCTTGTCATTTATCAATATTTAAGGGAAACTTGTAAAATAAACTACCTATAGACTATACTTTTCAACCTCAAACTCTGATAACACATTCTACTACCTCAAATCCTTCAATTGGTCACATTGACTTCCCCCCCTAAACTTTCTACTTTTATTTCCTTCTGGAAATTTTCAAATACATACAAAAGCAGAGTGAATATATAATGCATCCCCATATGCCTTTCACCCAGTTCTAATGATTAGCAACACTTAATCTTGTTTTATCAGAATCCTCTCCAGCCTCTCCTCACTACACACCGGCTGGATTATTTTGAAATTAACCCCAAACATCATATCATTTCTTAAGTAAATATTTCAGTGTTGTAATGATTTTGAAATTTAGTTTACATTTTAATGAATCCCTGATATTTTTAGTATTAATCAAACTACCCCACATTTTGCAATGTATGCTAATTTTCATTCTATCTACACATATAAGTGGTAGAGGTTGGCCCATCTATTTTAAACAAACTGTCACTGAGACTATAAGCATCATCATTTTAATCATCATGAAACATTTCCAACTAAGTATCTGAATTTAAAAGCTCACACTTTGTCGTCACTTCTACACTATTATTTTGAGGCTGTTAGTACTTGCTATTTACTTATTTAGAATATTTGTATATTATAATGAGTTTTTAATATTCTTGTTTTCTTTCCTGCTCTAAGGCAGTTATTCATCTGTGACAGCTTTACCCATTCCAGGAAACAATTATTCTGTCTTATGGGAGGGAGCTATGCCTAGTTCATGGGTCTTCATTCCAGGTGGTATTTAAAGGACAGAGCATCAAATTCAAAGAAATTTTCAGGAAAGGTATCCAAATACGTTGGGGATTCCTATGGGCCAGAGCAAATTCCCTCTGGTAAAATCAGTAAAAGAGGGAAATTGACATCATGAGGTAACATAAATGAGATGAGTTGAAAAGCCAAACTTCTTTATTCTAAGGGAAGCACTGCACTCCAAAGCCTCACCTCTATGGGAAAAAAATCAAGTTTTGTATTCAGAGGGCAGAACCAAAGCATGAAAGGGGAAAATCAATTCCCTGGTGCCAACAACAAGTCATTCTGCGTTAGTCTCTCCTTGCTGCCCAAAGTAAAAGCAAAAGTTTTGAGACATTCAACAATAGGTCAAAATAACATTCTGTGTTCTGCACACCATATTCCAACTCAAGCAAAATGTCTATGGATATATTTTTTTAAATTTCAAAGCCTTTTGATTAAAGTATACCAGAAGGGCACTGGCAGAGCGGTCTGTTTCTGTTCTTCTGTGGAAGGTTTCAATGGCCGCCGTACACTCTCTAAATCTATTTACTTCAAGGCTGGAATGAAACAAACATGACAGATGGGTTTTTAAAAAAATCAAAGGGGAAGTTCTTGGAACACATCCTTCAAAATAAAATTTTGTTTCTTTTTCTTTTTTTTTTTTTCGAGCAGCTGAAATGATTTTTCAGAACATCTGATGAGCAATTTTAATACTTCAACTTTCTCCTCCATGAAGCGAGCCCATTCATTTGGAGACTTCTGTTCTTTTGTTTTATTTCTGTGAGTGTCTTTCTTTGACAAGACGTAGTCTGGAAACGACAATATGCTAAATGAATGGACCCGTAGCATATTTGACTACACGAGGGCTGCTGGAGCATACTTTGGATTTTGACAGGAGAACAGAATACTTAATGGAAGAAATCTTGAAGATATAATAAAAAGGAAAGGTAATGAGCCTCCATGTTACTGTTCATGGACAAGGGGCTGAGCCACTTCCCTTCCCCCACTGCAAGGATGATAACTAGCAGGTTAGTCTATTCTCCCAAAGGCTGGAGAGCTTGATGGTTGGAAAATGCCAGGAAAGTGGAGAGAGGGCTGGGGGGCTTGAGGAGGGTGAGGAGTGGTTCTGTGCAGAGCTTGCTTTTTACCACCCATATCAGAAGGGTGCTGACTTAAACACCCACAAGTATGGTCTCACGAAGCTAAAATTTAACTTAAGGCAACATGTGAAACTAACCATCAACATTAGCACAGTCTGTCAAAGTGATGGCCCTGGCTTGGTTCTGATGTGGACTGGATGCGAGTGAGAGTGAGGAGTTGACACAACTCCCACGCCTCTGGGCTGGTTCCATGGGGGAGGTTCCATGGATCCATGGAAGACAGGAGAAAGAGCAGATTTGGATGCTAACACATTTACTTTCCAAGGCATGTCGAAAGATACACAGATATAGATATCATGCTATGTGTGGCTGTCCTGCTAGAAACCGGAGAACTTAGACATTCACAGAAAAGCAGATAGTGTTTTAAAACATGGACTCTGAAGTGAGAGGGGCCTGAATTAAAATCTCAGTATCTCCAACTCCTGGCTATGTGACCACGAGTGATACAGTACAGCCTTTCTGGGTTCTGTATCCTTGTCAGTCAAACATGGATCATCAAACTTACTTCTTAGAATTTTAAGAGGCCCCAAAGGGGTAATGTGTAGAAGAAAGCCTCTATCATAAACATAAGACCTTAATACAGCTACCCCTCACCTCAGGTCCCTAGTACTAGTCAAAAGGAGAGTGTATTCTACTGGGTCACAAAGGTCTATCCTGATTAGAATCGCTACTCAAGAAAACAGGGCATGATTCTAAGTGAAGTAAGCCAGTCAAGGAAGGACAAATACTGCATCATTCCATTTATATGAGGCATCCAATGTAGTCAAACTCATAGAAGCAAAAGGGTATAATGGTGATTGCCAGGATCTGTGGGGAGGAGAGAGAAAAGGGTGCCATTCAATGTGCATAGAGTTTCAGTCATACTAGATGAAAAAGTTCTAAATGTGTGCTACACCACACAATGTGTATAGTTAATAACATTGTACTGTACACATAAAAAATGTAAGAGGGTAGGTTTCACATTATGTGTACTTTACCACAATAAAACAGGAAGAAAAAAGAAACAGTGCTATCAAACCCCTGCCAGCTGCCCCATGGTCCCATCCAAAGTGTTTCAGAAAGTACCGTTGCATGAGAAAGGGGAATCCAGGAATAGATCCACAGATTCCATCCCTAAGTACAGTTCTTGGCCCAAACTTAATGTCTCATAAGCATTTGGTGAAGGAATGTAAAATCCAAATTTTCCAGAACCACTTGTTACACATATTATTTACTTAGCAAACACACGTCGATATTTGCAAAGCTTATCGTAAGCCATTTTGTTTGGCGATGCTGTTTAACACTAATGCTGAACTTATGCTTTGACCCAGCAATTCCAAGTCACAGAGTCTGCCTAAAGAACCCTTCACACAGCACAGCAAAAGATGTGTGTTACAACACTGTGTGTCGTGTCAACGGCTGACTAAGTAGCAGTAAACTCGCACTATGGAATACTACACAGCACTGAAAAGGAATGGCTAGGTCATTTAGAAAACAAGAAAGATGATCTTTGGATTCTTTGTTCTGAGCTGACAGTGCCACTTCAGAAGAATCTTCCCTACATCCCCTGGACCAGGCCTAACCTAGACTGATAGCCCCTTAAGCTTTGCTATAGAATCATCACAATAATAACTGATCAATCCATTGTGAAGGGCCTGCACCCTGCACAGAGCCTGGCTCAGTAAATGCTAAGTAATTATTTGTTAAAACATTGAATAATAATAGCATGACAATAGCATAAATATTTACTGAGAGTTTTCCATGTGCCTATTTCAAAAATTATAAAAGTAATAGCTCATTTAATCCTTGCAATACCCTCATGAGGTATAAAACACTACTTTCATATAATGGAGAAGACAGAGGCAAAGAAAATGCTTGAAAAAAACAGAAAGTCAGGAAAACCTTTGAATCAGTCCATCTGGGGATGAGACCCTATAAAGCTGGCCTTTCTTACATTGGGCTTTAGTCAGCTGAGATAATCAGACTTCTAACTTCCTGGATCATATCGCTTCCTTTAACACACTGAAACACTAGGGAAATATTTATTCTTTCTAAGCAAGCTTTTGCCCACATTATTGTGAAATGGAATTTTCTAGTAAAGATAATAATGATCCAGAAAGTCAGTTGCATAGCAGAAAATATGGTCGGGTAATGTTGCAGAAATGCTCATGGGAGCACTGGAGGTTGCTGCAACTCAGGAGGTTGAAGTATCTGGGCGACCACCTCCCCACCCCCACCACCCCCCCGCAAGGAAATGGGTAAC